ACCTCCACCTCCTGGGTTCAAGCAATTCTCCTGCCTCAGCCTCCAGAATCACTAGGATCACAGGCATGCGCCAATACGCCTGGCTAATTTAATATTTTTAGTAGAGATGGGGTTTCTTTTTTTTTTTTTGAGACGGAGTTTTTGCTCTTGTTACCCAGGTTGGAGTGCAATGGTGCCACCTTGGCTCACTGCAACCTCCGCCTCCTGGTTCAGGCAATTCTCCTGCCTCAGCCTCCCGAGTAGCTGGGATTACAGACACGCACCAACATGCCCAGCTAATTTTTTGTATTTTTAGTAGAAACGGGGTTTCACCATGTTGACCAGGATGGTCTCGATCTCTTGACCTCGTGATCCACCTGCCTTGGCCTCCCAAAGGGCTGGGATTACAGGCGTGAGCCACCGCGCCTGGCCAAGATGGGGTTTATTCATGTTGGTCAGGCCAATCACAAACTCCTGACCTCAGGTGATCTGCCTGCCTTGCCTCCCAAAGTGCTGGGATTACAGGCCTCAGCCACCACACCCAACCTTTGTATATAATTTTGAGACAGAGTCTTGCTCTGTCACTCTGGCTAGAGTACAGTGGCACAATCTTGGCTCATTATACCATCAACTTCCCATTATACCCTCAAGTGACTCTCCCATCTCAGTGAAAAACTGATTCTAAAACTGGGACTACAGGTGCATGCCACCACACATGGCTAATTTTTGTATTTTTTTGTAGAGATGGGGTTTCGCCATGTTGCCCAGGCTGGTCTTGAACTCCTGGGCTCATGCAATTCTAAAATACTAAAAAGAAAATTCTCAAAGACTTGTGGAACAACAACAAAAGGTCTAACATTTTTGTCAGTGGAGTTTTGGGATACAGAAAGAGTGAAATGCCGAAAAAATATTTGAAGAAATAATGGCTGAAAACTTCCCATGCTTGCCAAAAGACAAACCCACATATTCATGAAGCTGAGTAAATTGCAAACAGGATAAATCCAAATAAATCCATGGTCAGACATCATAATCAAATTGATGAAAACTAAAGAAAAAGAAAATATCTTAAAAGCAGCCAGAGAAAGTGATACCTGACTGATAGGGAATGAATGATTCAAATGACTGGATTTTTCATCAGAAACCACGAAGGGCCAGAAGAAACAGGCATAACATTTTTAAAGTGCTAAAACAACTGTCAACCTGGAGTTCTATATACAAGAATATCTGTTAGGAATGAAGGTAAAATAAAAACATTCTTAGATGAAGGCAAACTAACAGAATTCATAGCCAGAAGACCTGCTTTAAGAAAATTATTAAAGGAAAGCTCATTATGAAGATAAAAGGGAAATGACATAAGAAGGAAACCTAGAACATTGGGAATGCCTAGCAACAGAAATGGTGAAAATCTGGGTTAATGTAAGGCTATTCCCCTCTTGAATTTTTCTTTCTTTTTTTTTTTTTGAGACAAGGTCTCACTCTGTCACCTAAGCTTAAATGCAGTGGTGCAATCAACACTCAGCTCACTGCAGCGTCCACTTCCGAGGTTTGGATGGTCTTTCCACCTAAGCCTCCCGTGTAGATGAGACTACACATATGTGCTACCACACCTAGCTAATTTTTTGTATTTTTTATAGAGATGGGGTTTTGCCATGTTGCCCAGGCTGGTCTCAATCTTCTGGACTCCAGGCAGATGCCTGCCTCTTGAGTTTTTAAAAATGTGTCTGATAAAGAAAAGACATATTACATTGATGGGATTTTTCAATGTATATAGATGTAATATGACAGATACTGCACTAAGAGGGGAAAAAAAGGGGGATCTATATTGTGGCAATGTCTCTACGATCCAACTGGAGTGTTAAAAAACTGATTCTAAATATTTACTTTGTAACCCCTAGAGTAACCACTAAAAAACTATACAAAGACATAAGGTAAAAATCATAATAGATAAATTAAAATGAAATACTAAAAAATGTTCTAATAACGCAAAAGAAGGCAATAAAAGGAAAACAGAATGAAAAAGAGAGAAAAGCAGAAAACAAAACAAAACAAAAAAAGTAAACCTAATTCTAACTGTGTCAGTAATTGCATTGAATGTAAATGATCTAAACATACCAATTAAAAGACATACTGGCAGAGTGGATAAAGAAACGTGACCCAACTATATGCTATCTATTAAAAAACTTACTTCAAATATAATTCAATAGGTAAATTGAAAATAAAAAGATGAAGCCAGTCACAGTGGCTCATGTCTGTAATCTCAGCACTTTGGGAGGCGGAGGCTGGCGGATCACCTGAGGTCAGGAGTTCAAGACCCAGCCCAGCCAATATGGTGAAACCCCATCTCTACTAAAAATACAAAAATTAGCCAGGCATGGTGGTGGGCAACCTATAATCCCAGCTACTCGGGAGGCTGAGGCAGGAGAATTGCTTGAATTTAGGAGGTGGAGGTTGCAATGTGCCAAGATTGCACCACTGCACTCTAGCCTGGGCAGCAGAGCAAGATTCCACCTCCAAAAAAGAAAAGAAAAGAAAAGAAAAAGATGGAAAAACACATACCATGCAAATAATGAAAAGAAAGCTGGTAGCTATATTAATATCAGAAAAATATTTCCTTATCTTTTTGAGATAGGGTCTTGTTCTGTCATCCAGGCTGGAGAGTAGTGGCACAATCTTGGCTCACTGCAGCCTCAACCTCCTGGGCTCAAGCAATCCTCCCACCTCAGCCTCCCAAGTAACTGGAACTAAACATATGTGCCACTATGCCCAGTTAATTTTTTTCTTTTTGGAGAGATGAAGTCTCACTATATTGCCCAGGCTGGTCTTAGAGTCCTGGGCTCAAGCAATCCTCCCACCTCAGCCTCCCAAAGAGTTGGGATTACAAGTGTGAACCACCGTGCCTGGCCTAGACAAATATTTCAAAGCAAAGAAATTTACCAGGGATGAAGAGAGACTTGTTTTGTTTTGTTTTGAGACAGAGTTTTGCTCTTGCTCCCCAGGCTGGAGTGCAATGATTGCACAATCTCAGCTTACTGCAACTTCCACCTCCAGGTTCAAGCGATTCCCCTACTTTAGTCTCTCGAGTAGCTGGGATTACAGGTGCCCGTCATCATGCCTGGCTAATTTTTGTATTTTTGGTAGGGATGGGGTTTCACAATGTTGGCCAGGCTGCTTTTGTACACCTGACCACAGGTGATCTGCCTGCCTTGGTCTCCCAGAGTGTTGGGATTACAGGTGTGAGCCACCCTGCCCGGTGACAGACCTTGGCAAAAGGGTCAACTCACCAAGAAGATATTCAGTGTGTATACACCTAACAACAGAGATTCAAATAAACAAATAAATGGGAAGACATAATGTGTTCACAGGTGAGAAGACTCACCATGATAAAGGTCAAATCTTTCTAAACACAATTATAGATTTAATGCAATATGAATCAAAATCCCAGCAGAATTTTTTTTTTTTTTTTTTGGTAGATACAGACAAGCTGATGCTACAATTTACATGGAAGAGTAAAGGACCTAGACTAGCTAAAACAATTTTGGAAAAGAATGAAGTTAGAAGAATCACACTACCTGATTTTAAGATTTACTATAAAGCTATAATAATCAAGACAGTGTGGTACTGATGAAGAAACAGGCACATAAATCAAGAGACTATACTAGAGAATCCAGAAATACTGTCACAAAAATATGGCTATTTGATTTTTGAAAAAGGTACAAAAGAATTTCAATGGAGAAAGCAACTCACCATGACCAAAGCTGGGAAGACTATGGTGAAAAAGGATTCAAGACTACATACAAATGGCCAGCTTCAGCGAAACAGGAATTGGTAGGTGTAGTTCGATATGAATTCTGATACATACTGATGCAACACAGTGTATTTATTCAGGACAAAGTTTCTAAACTTAATAAGTCAAACCAATAAAGAAGACTTCTGTTCCAGATGAACCTGATAAAAATTTAATATTTTCATTTATGGTCATCAAAAAGACTCCAAATGGAAAACAGACCACCTTCTACTACTTCATGTTAATTCTGTGTGTCAAAATTAACTTCCGGGAAAAGTAAAAAATCAAACAGTAATTAATGCTTCAGTTTAATCCAAAGCTAGATCTAAATGCTATTAAACAGAAACATATCAAATTTTTGATTAAAAATGTGCACAGAGCAAAAGAGCAACAGATGATTTCAAAGTATTTAGTAATTATTATTATTATTCAAATAACCTAACACATTAACTTATTCAAATAACCTAACACATTAACTTTCTTTGAAGAGACTGGCAATTTAGCTTCACCATAGTTAGGCTGTATACAACACAGCTATTACAAAGCACAGCTTTCCAAGTAATTGCTTTAAACACCAATTAGAAAACCCAGAAAGGGAGAAAGAAAGGGTGATAAATATAAAAACTCTGAAAATTTGTAGTGAGAGGCAATACAAGGAACAGAATTAAAAAGAACTCTTACAGGCTATATATCTTAATGTATATAGCAGGATATATACACCCAAGTTTGTACTTAAGTTCCAAAGCACCTATGACCCAACCATGCAACTGAATAGCTAAACAATCCCAAGGATTCATATCTCTCTACCTATGTGTTCTTCCCCTATTCCATTTGTCTTACCTTCTCAAATCCCTGCCCCATGAGATAATTGCTCCCTTTTTTGTACCACTGGTAAGAAAGAAATACTGGGAACATTTTCAATGAGGAAATTAGTACATACTCATCTGGAGTAGAAAAACTAACATATTTGTTTCCTATTCATACAGCATGGAGAGCAAGCAGCATCCCTGCTGCTATGAAATTTTACAGCATCCCTATTAAAAGTGTGAGTTATATTACTCTCGTAAAGCATTCACACAATTGATTTTTATGTGATCCCACCCTCAAATATTCTATTATCCCAATCAAAATAAGCCTAATTTTTTTGACTACTGCAAATAAAAGTGTTTAAGCATACCACAGCATACCACTGCTACTAGAAAATGGCTAAAGATTAAATTACTTATCATCAACTTACCTCATGTAAATTCAATTCTTTTACTTTCTCTTTTAATATAACCTGTAAGACAAAAAAGTATGTTCTTAAGCCCATTTAAATCTGTAATTTATTTTTTATTTTTTTATAATATTCTTGGAGTATATAAATCTGTAATTTTAAATATTTCTCATTATACTTGCAAATATTTTTCTTTTGTATATACAGCTCATTTGCCTCATATTCGATATTGGAGAGAATTTCTTTTACAGTTTGAGACAGATCATTATAGCAACATTTTTAAAACTTGACCAACAATGCAATATTCTCCTAAAAAGCAATTTTGGTCAAGCACGGTGGCTCACACCGGTAATCCCAGCACTTTGGGAGGCTAAGGTAGGCAAAACACTTGCGGTCGGGAGTTCAAGACCAGCCTGGCCAACATGGTAAAACCCTGTCTCTACTAAAAATACAAGAATTAGCCAGGTGGGATGGCACCTGCCTGTAATCCCAGTTACTCAGCAGGCTGAGGCAGGAGAATCTCTTGAATCCAGCAGGCAGAGGCTTCAGTGAGCTGAGACTGCTCCACTGCACTCCAGCCTGGGTGAAAGACAGACTTTGTCTCGGAAAAAAAAAAGAAAGCAAATTAAAAAATCTCTTTGAAGGCCAGGCGCAGTGGCTCATGCCTGTAATCCCAGCACTTTGGGAGGCCAAGGCGGGCAGGTCACCTGAGGTTGGGAGTTCAAGACCACCCTGACCAGCATGGAGAAACCCTGTCTCTACCAAAAATACAAAAAATTAGCCAGGCATGGTGGCGCATGCCTGTAATCCCAGCTATGCGGGAGGCTGAGGCAGGAGAATGGCTTGAATCTGGGAGGCAGAGGTTTCAGTGAGCTGAGATCTCACCATTACATGCCAGCCTGGGCAACAAAAGGGAAACTCTGTCTCAAACAAAAACAAAAACAAAAACAAAAACAAAAAACTCTTCGAAAATAGATTAAATTTTGAGAAAAGAGATTAACAACACACGCCAATCTGGACTAAGTGCTAATACAGGGGGAAAATAAATGAGGCCGATTGCCTCACGATTCAGTAAAACACAGCATTGACTGATGGGACTAACTAGCAATTTATGAAAGATTAAAAGGTAAATTGGGCTGGGTGTGGTGGCTCATGCCTGTAATCCCAGCACTTTGGGAGGCTCAGGTGGGTGTTTTGCCTAAGGTTAGGAGTTTGAGACCAGCCTGGCCAACATAGTGAAACCCTGTTTCTACTAAAAATACAAAAATTAGCTGGGCGTGGTGGTGCCTGCCTGTAATCCCAGCTACTCAGCAGGCTGAGGCAGGAGAATTGCTTTAACCCAGGAGGCCGAGGTTGCAGTGAGCAGAGATCACGCCATTCCACTCCAGCCTGAGAACAAGAGCAAAACTCCATCTCAAAAAAAAAAAGTACGTCAATCTTAAATTTGAAAGTTTTGACTCCGTGGTGACCAGGTGGTAGTTAAAATGAATGCCAAGTGATAAGAAGGAAGTTTACCATTTAAGAAGAAACTCTGAGACTAAACATAGCTTATTAGAGTTACATTTCATCTCAACATGAAAAAAATAGGCAAGTAAAATTTAATTTTGGGTGTCTTATATTACCGAACTAAAAATGGATTTGAGGGCAAATCATGTTTTCAGAAATCACAACCAGAAGCTAGTATCTGGCCTCACAGGGATATACTAAATTTCCTATCCAATATATTTCAAAGATCAAATTTACTGTGCATCTTATGACTTGATTAGTTTTATCAGTTAATTTCACTTATTAAGTGACTGCAAAGGCCAATTTTACTTTCTAGTTAGCCTACATACAAATATCTTGTAGGTTGTCAAGATTATAACAGGTGGCCAGGTGCGGTGGCTAATGCCTGTAATCCCAGCACTTTGGGAGGCAGAGGTGGGCAGACTGGCTGAGCCCAGGAGTTTAAGACCAGCCTGGGCAACATAGTGAAACCCTTTATCTACAAAAAATACAAAAATTAGCCAGGCGTGGTGGTGCATGCCTGTAATCCCTGGTACTTGGGAGGCTCACCTGGGCCGAGGAGGCAGAGGTTGCAGTAAGCCGAGATCACACCACTGCACTCCAGCCTGTGTGACAGAGTAAGACCCTGTCTCAAAACCAAATCAAACCAAAAAACAAAACAAAAGATTATGATAGGAGTCTTGGCAACATGGCGAGACCCATCTCTACAAAAAATACAAAAATTAGCTGGGTGTGGTGGTGTGTTCCTGTAGCCCCAGCTATGTGTGCCACCACACCCGGCTAAGTGGGGAGGATCACCTGAGCCCAAGGAGGCCAAGACTGCAGTGAGCTGTGATCATGCCACTGCACTCCAGCCTGAGTGACAGAGACCTGGTCTCAAAAAAAAAAAAAAAAAAGATTATGATAGGACTGAAACAAAAAGATTCATTCATGTAGAAAACTAAAATACTCAATGCTGATTATGGATTCCATATGAGACCTACAGGGAAGAGTGTGGGGTTACCTAAGGACATCAGTATGTACATCTATGGAATGTGCCAATGAACTCAGATTTCAAAGATACATAGATGAAAGATGAACAGAAAGATATACAGTCCTCAGGTGGTAACATGTCCTGTAACATCAGTGTTAGGAAGGTTAAAGACTCGAATAAGCTGAAGCTCCCTACTACTCAACAAGAAAGCTAAGGGTAACAAAAATTAAGAATTTAATGCTTAGGGCCAAAGGAAAATCTAGGCCCCTTGTTTGGTGTCAGTGGTAAAATATTAATGGAAGAAAAAAATAACTGTACTTGGCCTTCAAGAAAAGATAAGCACATTAACTTAAAGACAAAATCAGTGAAGCACTAGTTATTAACAGCTATGATCCAAGCTTGCAGACTTCTAGTTGATAATATAAGCTAACCTTTAAAGTACAAAAGGGAGTATAAGAGATCACTGTAACACAGCTGATTACCTCTGAGGAACTGCTATATCTTCTAATATAGAAGGAAGAAAAAATTTCACTTAATGGTATCTCTGAACTCCATTAAGTTGACAGTAACTTCAAGAATTACAAGCTATAGCATTTCTCTTTAGCAAACTGTTGACTCAAGTTTCTTGTTAAATTATAATATTATATTATCTGAACTTTCTATAGTTTCAAGTAATGCTTATAAAAGAAGAGAAGAATACTTAAGAAAATGAGGTTGATATGTAATACTGCAAATTGGCAGTGAGATGCTAAAATGAACACAGGTAAATTCAGTCCCAGTTTAAAATATGAGTGGAAATCAGAGTTCTCAGTTTTTTTTGGGGGAAAAACAATCAAAGCCAATCTGAATTAAATTTCTCACCTGTTTGTAGGCATAAAATTCTTTGTGTGCTTGATGTCTTAGCCTAAAAGACAGAAATTAGTAACGCAATATTGAGATTTCCAACACAGTAACTTGAAAAAAATAAAAAGCTGCTGATTTTTGGTATTAATTTATATCATTTATGGCTCAAGTGATATAAATTAGAATCTTTATCCTGATATATACCCAAATGACGTATCTCTTATCATGTTATGTGAAAGTGCCCAGTGAACCATGAAATGTTACCCAAATGGAAGTTCCAATAAAATCTGATTTAAGCAAAAATCTCAATACAACAAATATTCTAATGAAGATGATTCTTTTTATACTGACAGTGTACTTATTTGAATATTTATATTTTTTCTTAATTAAAAAAACAAGTATAACATATTATCAAATGAAGTATAAAAACCTTAAGTATACATCTCAAAATTTAAAAAATGTACATATCAGGGTAACTATTGCTCAAATCAAGATATAGTACATTTCCAGCACACCTGAGCCCTCTAAAATGACCCTTCTTAATCAATATCCATGCCCCAGAGGTAGCACTATCCTGATTTCTAACACTGTAGATTATGCCTGTTTTTGAACTTAAATGGATCATTTGGTATATGCTCTTTTGTGTTTGGTTTCTTTCAGTCTATAATGCCTTGTGGGATTCTTCTATATGGTTATAGTAATTGTCTTTCTGACTGACATACAGTACTCCATTGTATGAATATAACAGCATTTATTTATCCATTTTACTGATGAATATTTAATTCCTGTTTGAGGCTATTATTAATAAATCTGCTACATAAATTCTACAGTCTTTTAGTGGACATATATACTCATTTCTGTTGAGTATATGCCTGGGAGTAGAACTGCTGGTTCAAAGTACTCACACCAAGGCTGCGCGCTGTGGCTCACACCTGTAATCCTAACACTTTGGAAGCCCAAGGCAGGTGGATTGCCTGAGGTCAGGAGTTTGAGACCAGCCTGGCCAACGTGGCAAAACCCTGACTCTACTAAAAATACAAAAATTAGCCAGGTATAGTGGCACATGCCTGTAATCCCAGCTACTCGGGAGGCTGAGGCAGGAGAATTGCTTGAACCCAGGAGGTGGAGGTGGCAGTGAGCTGAGATCATGCCACTGCACTCCAGCCTGGGCAACAGAGCGAGACTCCATCTTAAAAAAACAAACAAACAGCGCCGGGCGCGGTGGCTCAAGCCTGTAATCCCAGCACTTTGGGAGGCCGAGGCGGGTGGATCACAAGGTCGAGAGATCGAGACCATCCTGGTCAACATGGTGAAACCCCGTCTCTACCAAAAATACAAAAAATTAGCTGGGCATGGTGGTACGTGCCTGTAATCCCAGCTACTCAGGAGGCTGAGGCAGGAGAATTGCCTGAGCCCAGGAGGCGGAGGTTGCGGTGAGCCAAGATCGCGCCATTGCACTCCAGCCTGGGTAACAAGGGCGAAACTCCGTCTCAAAAAACAAACAAACAAACAAACAAACAAACAAACAAAAAACTAGGCCGGGCACGGTGGTGCACGCCTGTAATCCCAGCACTTTGGGAGGCCAAGGCGGGCAGATTACGAGGTCAAGAGATCAAGACCATTCTGGCCAAGGTGGTGAAACCCCGTCTCTACTAAAAATACAAAAAAATAGCTGGGTGTAGTGGCAAGCGCCGTAATCCCAGCTACTCGGGAGGCTGAGGCAGGAGAATTGCCTGAACTCGGGAGGTGGAGATTGCAGTGAGCCGAGATCGTGTCACTGCATTCCAGAATGAGACTGTCTCAAAAAAAATCAAAGTACTCATACCGGCTGGGCACAGTGGCTCATGCCTGTTACCCCTGCACTTTGGGAGACTCAGGCAGGAGGATCACTTGAGCCCAGGAGGTTTGAGACCAGACTGGGCAACATTGTGAAACTTCACTTCTACAAAAACTATAGTTGGCTAGGCATGGTGGCATGTAGCCCGTGGTCCCAGCTACTCAGGAGGCTGAGGTGGGAGGATCACTTGAGCCTGGGAGGTCAAGGCTACAGTGAGCCAGGATTGTGCAACTGCACTCCAGCCTGTGTGACAGAGTGAGAACCTGTCTCAAAAGAAAAGGAGAAAAAAAAAAAGTACTCATACCAATTTCTACTCCTATGGGTACATAAGAGTTCTAGGTGTTTACATCTTTGTAGGTTAAGCTTGAAAATTTTTAAAATTTAAATGAAGTCTAATTTATCAACTTTTTCCAATTAGGTTATTTTTGTGTCCCATTAAAGGAATCTTTGCCTATTCCAAGACTATGAAGATATTCTCCTGAATATGTTGTGAAAACAATTTATTTTACCTATCAAATGTAGGTTTATGATTCATCGGAAATTGGTCTTTACATATTCTGTGAGGTAGGGGTCCAGATGCTTTTTATCCTCATATAGATTTTCATTTGACTCACCATCATTTTTTTTTTTTTTTTTTTTTTTGAGACAAAGTTTCGCTCTTGTTACCCAGGCTGGAGTGCAATGGCACGATCTCGGCTCACCGCAACCTCCGCCTCCTGGGTTCAGGCAATTCTCCTGCCTCAGCCTCCTGAGTAGCTGGGATTACAGGCACATGCCACCATGCCCAGCTAATTTTTGTATTTTTAGTAGAGACGGGGTTTCACTATGTTGACCAGGATGGTCTCGATCTCTTGACCTCGTGATCTACCCGCCTCGGCCTCCCAAAGTGCTGGGATTACAGGCTTGAGCCACCGCACCCAGCCCTGACTCACCATCATTTATTGAAAAGATTCTCCCCTTTCCCCACTGCATTGCAGTGACACATCTGTTGTAAATCAGGTGTATTGATTATGTGGGCAGACATTATTAGAGCTGCTATTACTCTGCTCTATTGGTCTATTTGCCTATCCTTGTATACTGACTGGGTTGAATGGGTCCCCTTCAGCTCCCAATTCATGTCAAATTGGAACCACAGAATATAACCTTATTTGAAAATAGGATCTCTTCAGATTATTAGTTAAGATGAGGTCATAATGGCTTAAGGTGAACCCTAAATCCACTTTGACTGCTATCCTTAGGAGAGGAGGAGAGGATATGCAGAGACAGACGGGGTGGTGGGGGGGAAGGCCAGGTGAAGACAGAGTCAGAGACTGAAGTGATGCAGCTACAAGCCAAGGAATGCCAAGGCTTGCTGGTATGTACTGGAAGCTAGGAAGAGGCCTCTGCCCTAGGGCCTTCAGAGGAAGCATGGTTCTGCTAGCACTTTAATTTTGAACTTTTCCAGCCTTCACAAGTATGAAAGATTACATTTCTCATTTTAAATTGCCCAATTTGTGGCACTGTGTTATAGCAATGCTACGCAACCAATATCCCTTGTCAATATTATGCTATTTTAAAAACTTCTGAAATAATTTTAGACAGAAAAGTTGCAAAAAGAATTCACATACACCTTTCTACCAGCTTTCACATTTATACAACCATAGTACAATTATCAAAACCATGAAATTAACATTGATATGATACTTTAACATTGACATATTAACTAAACTACAGACCTTATTTGAATTTTACCAGTTTTTTTCTCTCATGTCCTTTTCCTGTCCTATAATCCCATCCAGGATCCCATCTTACATCTAGTTATGTCTCCTTAGCCACCTCTAATTTGTTGAGAGTTCCTTAGTTTTTCCTTGTCTTTGAGATTTTGACATATTAAGTATGACCACTTTTTCTTGGTGTAAATTGGTGATTTCAATTTAAGATTGGTTAAGATAGTGTTCACTGAGTTTCTCTACTGTAAAGTTACTAATTCTTCATTTGTAAATGACAAACATTTGAGGGAGATATGCTGAAATTATACATATATTCTCTATTTTTCCTTAAGCTTTTGTCCACCGATTTTAGCATCCACCTTGCTTGCAACAATTACTGTAGTGTTTGCCTAATGGTAGTTTTGTGGTTCTCTAATTCCTTGCACATTTATTAACTGGAATTCTTCTATAAGGAGGAGATGTGTTCCCTCATTTACTTGTGCAATTATTATTTCTGAGTCTAGATTCATGGATGTTTGTTTTAACCTATGGGTTATAGTTCAAATGATCACTATGCCCTAAGCTACCCTGTGTTAGCCAGACAGACTCCATTTTGCTGAGAGTCAGGCTCCATCTTAACTTCTGCCTCACCCCTCCCACCATTTCTCCTTTGAGTGCGTATCTAGGTCATGCTCCTGTGCTGGGTCATGTTGTACTTAGAGCTATAGAAACATATAACTGTTGTAACCATATCCTGCTTGACAAGCCCACCTGCTATTGTAAATACCCCTTGATTGATTGTATAGAAAGTACCGAATGCCCCTCCTTGGTAACCAGCAATCACGGGAACCACTTGTGTATACCCTCCTCAGTTAATCAACAATCATGGGAGCCTCCTGCCTCCTAGTTACCAGCCTCCTCCCCTAACCTGCTCATTCTGCTTCTGTAAAATTCCACTTCAGCTAGGCTCCCCCTTCCCTACCTAAATCAAGGTATGAAAAGAAATCAAGCCCCTTCCTTGGGACTGAGAGATTTTGAGCGTGAGCTGACTCTCGGTCGCTGGCAATAAAGGACTCACAATCAGATTTCAGAGTGTGGTGCTTTCCATTCCATTATATCCACTCGGATATAACTACTATTTCTTTGTTGCTCAAAATGACTGGCCTTGAGTCCTTCAGGTTGACTCTTGTGTCCTTTCAACAAGCCCCCATCCTTTCCCATGCATTTCCTTATATATTGGCACCAAAAGGTGTTTGTTTCAGACTCATTTTATATGTTCTGTGCTCCAGCCCTGGGGTTAGCTACTTCTTCCAAGTAACAGTGATATTGAAAAATAGTATTTAGAACTTGAGATCTAGGTGCTTGGTGAAAAGCACTTTCTTTTAACAATGTTGCTTTACAACAGGTGTTGGGGTCTGGTAGTAAAAATCCTCAAGTTTTATTCTTTTTAACAACTGGCTTGGCTATTCATGGTTCTCTGTATTTCCATATAGATTTCAATTTCCACCAAAAAACAAAACAAAACAACAAAAAAAA